TCATAACTGAACCAATAAGCAATGTCACATTAAGTGGAGACATGGCTGACCCTGCCAAAAAAAAAGTCATTTTACTTGGATTGGCAATCAGCACCCCTGGAAGCAGCAGTCAGGAAAATATAAGGCATATTTCAAATGGCAAACCTTCTGCAAAAGAGATATCTTAAAAAATGTAGAAGTAAGGATGTCATCTTGAAGTCTGTTTTCAGTAGTCTTATATGCATGCAACAGCTGGACAATGACTAAACAAGACCAAAGAAGAACTGATATTTTGAGTTAGGGTGTTGATGAATATTGACTATATTATGGACCCACAGGATAGGCAGCGTTGGTGAGGACGGTGCAGGGATAGGCAATGTTGTGTTCTGTTATACACAAGTGTTGCTAAGCAGCACCTTATAAATTATAATAAAAAACCTTTTTTCCTAAGTCTAGTTTACAGATATCAATATGCTTAAAAGCTACCCCCTTCTCTATCTACTCTGTTGGTTTAGTGGTAAAGAACTGTGTTGCCAAGGAAAAGAAAGGCACATTGTTGGGACTCACTAGCTGCTCCACAGAGGGAGACAGGCAAGCTCCTTCTATGCAAGTTACTGCCTCTGAAAACCTGCTGGAGAGTCAGCTACATGTCAGTTCTGACTTAACAGTATACAACAACAATAACACACTCAGGTCAGAACTGCTGTTAGTACCCAATTGTATGGTGCTGGTGTTGTTAGATGCCATTTAGTTGAGTATGACTCATAGCAGCCCTATGGACAACAGACCTGAACTCTGTCCTACCCTGTGCCCTTCTCACCCTTGCTGACACGTTAGAGCTCATTGTAGCAGTCACCACATCCATCCACTTGGTTGATGGCCTTCCTTCTCCTTCGCTGACCCTCCACGCTTTCAAGCATCATATCCTTCTCCAAGGAATAGCCTCTCCTAGCCTCTAGCAACATGTGTGAAGTATGTGAGGTGAAGCCTCATCATCCTTGCCCCCAAAGAGCACTCTAGTTGCACCCTCTCCAGATATATTTGTTTGTTCTTTTGGCAATCCATGGGATGTGCAGTTCTCTTTTCCAACACCACAGCTCAAAGGCATCAATTCTTCTGTCATTCTTATTCATTGTCCAGCTCTCAGATGCATAGCAAGTAATTGGAAAGACCATGCACCTTAGTCCTCAAACTGACATCATTACTCCTCAATAATTTGGAAAGGGCCCTAACACCAGACTTTCCCAGTGCAATACATCTCTTGATTTCTTGACTGCTGGTACCAAGATTGTTAATTTTGGGTCTAAGTAAGATGAAGTTGTTGACAGTTTCAATCTATTCTTCATCCATCATGATGTTGCCTATTGGTCCTGTGTTAAGAATCTTTTTCTTGACATTGAGATGCAATCCATATTGAAGGCTGTGTTTTCTTTTTATCCTCTGCAAGAAGTGCTTCAAGTCTTCCTCACATTCAGCAAGCAAGATTGTGTTATCTGCATAACACAGGTTATTAATGAGTCTCCCTCTGATCCTGGTGCCACATTTCTCTTCACAAGAGTCCAGCTTCTAGAATATGCTCAGCATAGTGATTGAATAGCTGTGGAGAGAGAATACAAACCTGAAGCACTCCCTTCTTCATTTTAAACCATGCAGTGTTTTCCTGTTCTGTTAGCACAACATTTGACTGTGTGGATCATAACAAGTTATGGCTAACATTGAGAAGACTGGAAATTCCAGAGCAATTAATTGTGCTCATGTGACTTACACCTAGACCAGGGGAATCCAATTATAGCCTGTTAATAATCTCATGCACATATTATTCAAAATGGTTGACTCTGGAGAACATTATGCTGAGTGAAATATCCCAGTCACAAAAGGACAAATATTACATGATGCCACTGCTGTAGAATGGGACTGTCCTTGGGGTTGGGGAGAGACTGAGTAAGATGGGTTCAATAATGTATACTGCACTGAAACAGAGGAGGGAGAGAACCGTTTAAAAGAGAGATGTAACTGGGTATTTCTGTCATCACAGGAGACTAGAGCGAGGGCTGCATGGTGGAGGGGACCTGGGGGAGGGTTTGTAAAACAATGAAAGAATCTTTTCTTTTACTTTTCCATAATTTTTGGACTCATGTACTTATAACTTGTTAGTCAAATTTGTGTCTTCTAGGTTGCAACACCCCCATGATACATCTTCAAGGATATGTACATGTACAGCCAAGCACAATCAATAAGAGTGCATCTGAATTCCAAAATCAATCTCCGTAATAGTCTATGTGTTTCCTACTGCCAAAGGGGCCCTTTAGAGTAGTGAGAGAAGATCTTCACCCTGAAACCCACAGCGTCCCTTTTCAGCAGGAAGTAGCTAAGAGAATACGCCATCCCCTTTTCCTTATGACTCAGGGTGAAGTCTCTCTCAGGGAGGAGTGATAGGGAATGGCAAAGGATACACTGACAAAGAAGATTAATCAGAACTGGCTTTGACAAGCACTGTGGCATTTGGACAAGAACAAACTGGGAGGAGGGTAGAGAGAATAGTGCAACAATGAATGAGTGGAAGCCCAAAATCTCTGTAAATGTTTATGAAAATTAATAAAATATAATTATAGAAAAAAAATAATCTCATGCACGTGCTGTAAGCATATTTTTGTTGATGTCTGCAATTTTTGTTGTTGTTATGTACTGTTGAGTTAGAACCAACTCCTCGCTGACTCTCCAGGGGATGTTCAGAGACTGTAAATTACAGGAGGAGATGGTCTACCTCACAGAGCAGCTGGGGGATTCAGACTGCACGCAGCATGACTCCTCACCACTAGGCCATTAGAGCTTTGTTTATTGTAACTTTATAACACTGATTTTTCCAAGTTTGTTGATATTTTAGCTGCGGTATTGTGGTAACTATTATTGTAAACTTACACAAAAATTTCTTTTAAAAAGAATGAAATAATAAAAGGGAAATGAGAAAAATTAAGACTTCTAAAAAAGACTTCTCAGTTATTAACAATTTTGTGATTCAATGTAGAAAGATTTTTCAAAACAGGTTTGTACTTAGTATTCACATAATTTAGGAAGTATTACATGTAAGCATTTTACGGCTGTTGCTTGTGTATCACATTATCACAAGTGGTGATTAATATTACGAAGGATTCTGTCTGGTCTGTAGGAGAGTAGGCCCATGTGGGTGAGGCCTGGTGATGCCACTGACCTTCAGCCTTCTTTGAGGGCATCATCAGACATGCCACCCATTCTGAACTGACCACATAGCCTACTGCTGACTCAGCAAGGATGGCTGCAAGCAACAGTACTGCTGGGGGACCTGCTAGGGCTGAATTGCACCCCTCCCCAGAATGTGGCCCTGCTAGACTGTGAGTCTGAGTATTGTGAGATGGTCCCGAGCATTACAAACCCCAACCATTTTGACTTTAACAAGGCCAGATCAGGGTCAGTTATGTAGGGATGTTGTTACCTCCCATGTTGTGATGTGAGACCTGATCAGGGTAGGATGGGACCCTCTTTAACCAGATCACGGGCCTTGTCTGACTGAAGGGGAGTTTCCCTGGATGTGGTCTGCAGCAAGTTGGTCTATAAAAGATAAAAAGAGAGGAGTGGGGACCGGAGATAGTCACCCTAAATTTGGGCTTTGAACTTACGAAACTGTTACTGTTGTGTAGCTTCCGGTAGGAACCAATCCATAGCTGACTACCCAGTGGGTTTTCAGAGAAAGTAAATCTCAGGTGAAGAGATTGCCCATCCTTTCACCTGGGAGCAGCTGGTGGATTTGAACAGTGTGCTTCTGGGTGGACAGTGTAGCTTTCTTACCGCTAGGCAGTAAGTGCTCCCTTATTAGACTGTAAGAGAATAAGCTGTTGTTAGTCGTCTGCGGGGTGTCTGTACCAGCAGCACCACAGGAGGAGGCAGGGCCATTAGGGGAACAACATGCCACTAATCATAACTCGGCATAAAGCGTGGAGGGACCTCTGGGACAGGTGTGCTCTCACAAGCATGCCTGAATAGGTGCACATTCTTGGTCAAAGCGCTGATCAAGAACAGATGATGGCATTTTCTGTCTAATTAAATACAACAGTAGGGTCATGTGGGCACTGGTGAGGGAGTCAAAGAGCACACACCATGTAGGTGACCCAGGCTGGTGGGCTGTTGGAGCCTGCCCAGGTGGCCTGAGGACAGCACTCACCTGTCTAGTTTCCCTATGGTGACCTGACACGGAGGAAGCGTACAGTGCCTGTTCCCAGTGCGCGGATGCGGACGCAGGGATCCAGACGGTGCCAGGACCCCTGACCCCAGGAGGAGGGGCTCCTCCCAGAACGCCGGGTGTTCCCTGGCAGAAGGAGGCCACCTTGTCCCCTCACCTCCCCCAGATGCCTCCTTTGCCCGAGGCTGTGGCACCAGCAGCCCCCGTGCCTCAGTCTTGCCTCGGGTTCTTCCTCCAGTCCTCCGTCCCCACCTGCACCTTCCAGGGTCTTTGGAATCACGTGATTCCCCGCGGAGGCAGCTTCGAGGCCCTTCTGGGGCGGGCGAATCTCTGGGGCTTCCTCTCCTGGAATTGGCCCCACGTCTTCGCTCCTCCTGACTCTCCCTTCTTCTGGATGCCCCTAAAACCCCTCCCGGCCAGCTGCATATGCCACTTTAGGGCGCGTCCCCGGGTTTCGCCTGGGTTTGGGGCCCTCCTGAAGGTCGTGGAGAATTCCGGGTCCCCCTGACCGAGGTGCCCCCACGCCGAGATGAGCAGTCTCAGACCCGGCTGCGGAGACTGCACGGCGTTGGGTCATGCAGAGCCCTGGTCAGGTTTTGCCCACAGGGGGCTCTCGAAGGTGACCAAGGAACAGACCCTCTGTCCTGGGCACACTCAGGCAAGGGTGGGAAGGAGGTTGGCTAGTGGGTCGCCCGGACTAACCATCTCTCCCGCCTGCTACTGCGGCGTCGCAGGGGTTAACGGCAGGCGGGACGAGTCAGCGGGCGGAGCCGCCACAGCGCGGGCGCGGCGCCGAGTCGCTCGGAGCGAGGTGGCCGCAGCGTCCCCCGCGGCCCCGGCGCGGGCTGGAGCGCGGAGCCGCCGCCGCCCGGCCTAACCATGCTGCCCCCGGGCGGAGGGTCTGGGCGACGGCCGCCCCTGCCCGCCGCGCGCCGCCTCCGCTGACCTCGCCCGCCGGGCCGCCAAGCACCATGGTGCAGAAGTCGCGCAACGGCGGCGTGTACCCCGGCCCCAGCGGGGAGAAGAAGCTGAAGGTGGGCTTCGTGGGGCTGGACCCCGGCGCCCCCGACTCCACGCGGGACGGCGCGTTGCTCATTGCCGGCTCTGAGGCCTCCAAGCGCGGCAGCATCCTGAGTAAGCCCCGCGCGCCGGGCGCCGGGAAGCCCCCCAAGCGCAACGCCTTCTACCGCAAGCTGCAAAATTTCCTGTACAACGTGCTTGAGCGACCGCGCGGCTGGGCGTTCATCTACCACGCCTACGTGTGAGCTGCGGGCGGCGCGGGAGAGGGGGCCCAAGCTGCGGAGGGCGAGGGGCTGGGGGGCCTGGGGGCGCCGCGAAGACGGGGGGAAGGCGAGGGGCCGGGGGTGGCAGGAGAGGGCGGGAGAGGGGCCGGACGGACAGGGTCTCCGGACTGCTCGACGCCTGGCCGCCATCCGCTCCGGTGCCAGCAGCGCGCGGCAGCTGCGGGAACTGGGCTCTGTGCGCCTGTCACCCCGGGATTCGGGCCGGAGACTGCGTCCTTGGCTGAGGGCTCTCCCAGGGGCGGAGGGCTTACTCTCTCTAAGTCTGGAGTCTTGGGGGTTGAGGTTGAGGTGGGGGCCCTGTCCCTCCCCCACCTTGCGGCCTGGCTGTCGGCAGCTGCCTCCACCCCCTCTCCGCTGAACCGCCCCTCCCCATAGCTGCTGCGCGAACAAAGGGCCCGCAGGGAGGGAGGTGGGCGCCCCGGGAAGTGGGGGCGGCAGAGGAGAGGCCTGCCCTGCTCCGTTCTTCCATCCCCGCCCACCTCTGGGGTGAGCTTCTGGGTTGCTGACATGTGGGAGGGGTCTGAACATTACCCTGCCCCCCCAGACCGAGGGCACCGGACTGTGGACCCCCGCTGACTAGCGGGGATCTTCCGGCCCCACAGGGTGTGCGTGGCGTGTTTGCGTTCGCCTCCTCCCCAGCGCTCGTGGCAGCGTGGACGCAGGGTCCCCGCACAGGAGGCCCTGGTGGAACCCCCACAGCTTGGGTGCCCGTGAACACGTGGTGTTGGTGTGTGAGCATTTGTGTGCGGGGTGCACGCCGCTACGGGTGCGTGTGCGCGTGCTCTGAGCCTCACAGCCTGAGTGTGCCAGCACTCGCGGCTCCTATCAGGCCGGGCCAGGGACCAGGAGCACAACTCGGCCATTTTGTAGGGAGAGGCATTTTGGGCTGCGAATGAACGTCGGATTCTGGGAAAAAACAGCTCTGACCAACAGCTCAGTGGGTTGTGTGAGTGCGCGTGTGTTTGCGTGTGTGAGCGCATGTTTGTGTGAGAGCGTGTGTGTGAGCGAGCGAGCGTGTGTGTATATGTGTATTCATGGTGTGTGAGTACCTGTGTGTGTGTGTGTATGTGTGTGTATATTCATGGTGTGTGAGTGCCTGTGTATGACAGTGTGCGTGTGAGAGTGTGTGTGTGTATTCATGGTGTGTGTTTAGACTGAGGTTTGTGTGAGGGTGTGCATGCATGCAGGTGGGTGTACGGTGTCTGTGTGTGAGTGCATGTACATATATGAGAGTGTGTGTGAGCTTGTTTACATTAGTGAAGGTGTATAAGTGTATGTGAGGTTGTATGACAGTGTGTGTACATGTGTGCATGTGAGGCGTGTGCGTGTGTGCATGTGTGAGGTTGCACACGTGAGGGTATAAGAGAATGTGTGAGTGTGAGTCTGTGCTATTGTGTGTGTGTATGTGTGAGGGTCCTGGCCTGTGTGCATGTGTGTCAGCACTTACGTGTGTGGATGTATGTATGAGACTGTCTAATCCATGTGCTCTACATATCCGCTGTGGAATGTGATGGGGAAGGGTCCAGGGAGCAGAAGACCCGAGCCCTGAATAATTGCCACTGTGATGTTCAGCAGCAGTCTGTGGTTGACCTCTGAAACAGAGTCTCTCTGACTGGCCCCAATGTGGGTGGAGTGTGAGTGGGCCTGGCTCTTGTCCCATGTGACTTGAGACCCTCTCCAAGCCCCTGTAGTTGACTGTGAGCCCTGGGATAGTGGTGCACCTCTGGTCAGCCAGATCTGACCACACTCCCCAGCCCCCAGCCTGCGGCAGGGCAGACAGTGCCCTTGGCCAGAGTCCAGCACACAATTTGGATCTGCAGCTGGTTGCCTCTGGGCCAGGCCCTTGATGAGGCCCTGCCTCCTGGAAAGTGGGTTTCCAGCCCTGACCCCTAGTGCTTAGACTTGTCAGACCTGCTCGGTGGCTTGAGCCCCTGGGCTGTGACGATGGTGAGCACTGGGCTGCTTCCCAGGAAGCTGCAGGGTCTGAGCCTACAGGAGTGCCAAGGGACAAAGGCTTGGTGACATCCTGCTGAAAAGCCAGCTCTGCTTCCACATGCAGGCTCACCCTGCTGAGCTGATGTGGGACCACGGGAGCATGGGACAAGCCAGCACCTGCTCTCAGCCCTGCTGCTAGCATTGCCCTGGGGCTGGGCAGAGCTGAGTCCTTGGTCTCTGTCCTGCTGCTGCTGCCCCTAAAGGGTGGCTGTGTCCAGTCCCCACCCACCCCACCCCCGCCCCTGCTGTCCTATCCTACTGGTCCTTCCTGGGCAGGAGCATAGCTCGGGCTGGCCCCTTGCTGTCCACATAGCCTGAGTGGACTCGGTCTGTGAAGTGTTTTCAAGGAAGGCGGGCCAAGTCTGGGTGCTGATCTCCAGATATGGGCATGTTGGTGGGACTCCATTCAGCAGCCCAGTGACCCATGGACTCTGGGAGAAGCTGTTGGTGGCTGGTGGAACTCTGGTCTGAAGGCTAAAGAAGTGGCCAGGCCCACACCCATGGAGTGGCCTCAGAAGTGTTCTGAGACTGAGTGTTGCTGCACAGCTCTGGGCACAGTCTGGTGTTACTGTGAGCTCTCAAAGGGGTGTGAGCTTCAAGGTGGAACACTCATGTCACAGACAAGTACTGGGACAGGCAAGTGGGGCTACACTTTGAGGACAGGGGATGGGTTTGTGGCAGCACCCTAGGGCTAGGGGAACTGAGAGAGAATGTTCAGAGCCCAAGTTGGCTATCTGGCTGCCCTTCATCCTGCCTGGAGCTGTGAGGAGGGAGCGGGTGACTCCCCTTCCTCTGCGCTCTGTGTGGGGCCTGGAGCCCAGCGTGAGATGTGATTGGAGCTGGTTTGTGAGCTTGCCAGTGGGGAGGAGGGTGTAAGCCCCACTTTCACTATTGGGGAAACGGACCAGTGTTGTCTGTGTCCACAGAACAAGCACCTTGAAGTGTAGGGCACTGACTTCAGGATATTGAAACCATTTGGTGATGCAAGGATGAGACTCGGACAAGCCTGATGGAAGATGCCTGGCTGGGCCTGCTCAGAGGGGCAGACTCTGTTACAGGCCACATGGTCCAGGCCACTGAACTGTGCAGGACCTTTGTGCCTTTGTCCCAGTTAGTAGTGTGGGCAGTGTGTGGGTGGCTCGGCGGAGCTGCAGCAGAGGCAGTGAGGCCCAGGCCTGCTCCAGTCTCCTCAGGACTCTGGCCCAGCTGCTCGCAGGCCCCTGGCCCCTGCTTGCCTTCACATTCTTGCTCAGTTCTAAGTTGTGGCCTCAGAGTACACATTCAAGGTGTGCTGGATCACAGCTCAGGCCCTCAGTTCTGTCCTCTCTTCTGGTAGGTGAGGGGTATGTGGTGGCCTGAGGTTCCCTGGACACAGATGGGAGCAGTGGCCTCCCTGTCAGTGTAGACAGAACATCCATGTTCCCAAGAGAGAGCCGAGAACATGGGATAGACATGTTGAAGCCAGAGGCCTCCCAGGGGGAAGACAGGGGATGTGCCTGCTGACCGAATCCTGGATGAATCTCATGGAAATTTCCCGAAAGGTGAATGACCCCAGACAACTGTGGTGTCTACAGGAACAGGGCTTCTGGGGTCCTTGACTTAGTGAAGGGCCTCAGGTATCCCTGTCTAATCTGCAGCCCTCCCCTAATCACCGACTCTTAAGTTATGAAGAGCTCTCCCATCGCCCCATCTCCTCACATCCTCAGGGACTCTCCAAACACCCTCCTGTCTGCACACGACGGGGACAGCAATGAAGTTGGAAGCTCACCGCTGGAAGGCACAGGTGAAATATCCCAGCATGTCCTTCCAGATACTCCAAAGGAGGCCACTTGGCCTGAAGACCAGAAGGCTGGGGGTCAGAGGCTCCAGCCAAGGCTGTACAGCCCTCAAGCCCACCACGTGGAAGGTCAGAGCCCAGTGCTGATGTCCACGGTGGAAACCTTTGTCATGTCTGCAGTGGGGATGGCAGAATAGGTGGTTCTTGAGTCCAGGCTAACGGGGAGCAGGACCAACCTCTCTCCTGGACTCTGGAGGGGGATCCTGCCATCTCTTCCCACTTCTGGCGGCTGCAGGCGATCCTGGAGATGCGTCTTCAGGACACTTCTCATGCTTCGACTCTACCTCTATTTTCACTAAGACACCGTTTGGGTGGACTCAGGACTCCCTAAGATTTTAAGTCAATTGATGACTTCTGCTGAGACCCTGTTTTCAAGCAAGGTCCCGTTCACAGGGGTCAGGACTGCGATATGCCCTTTGGGGGTGCACTTTACTTTGTAGCTTTCAGGGGTGCAGGCAAGTCCAGTGGCAGACAGAGGTGAGCAGCATGGTGCCTGGTTTGCGTTTGTGGGTCAGCAGATCCGTGTTCATCTCTGAGCTTTGTGTCCAGAGTAGAAGCCCATTTTGTTCCTCCTTGAGCTTGTTCAATATTTCTCATTTCTGCAAGTGGGCTTCAGGCATGTCCGAGCCTCTGCCAGCCTGTATTCTCAAACCCATAGAAGGAAAAAGCTGGGCTTACCGCTGGAGGCAGATCTGTTACACTGTGATACACTCCCCCAAGTGGGGAGCTGAATAGGGATTCTCATAGAACTTCAGTGAAAAACATTTGGCTGGCTGTGTTTTGAGGCAGAGACACCTGTGGATCATCAGAGGTGAATCACCTGGGTTGAGCTGGGACATATCCCACCTATTTGGGTTCTGAGGGTCCAGCTGAGGTAGAGTGTCCATTTGAGGTTGAAAGAGCCAAGTGCCAGGCTTGGGCTCAGCCTGTGTCCTGTAGAAGTACCAGTTGGAGAGGAACTGCAGCCTGGCAAGTGGACCAAGCTTCTGGAGCAAAGGTTACATTGTTTCCACATTGTGTTCCTATAAACCCAGCTACGGCCGGATATATGGGTATATGGTAAGTCCTAGAAATGGAATTGTAGGGCTAGAGTATATACATTTAAAATAAGCATTCCATACACCC